TATGGCAGACATTTTCTCACTAAGGATGTTTTCTTTTGGACTGTTTTCAGTCCCAGACCAGATCAGACCAGACCAAATCAGACCAGACCAAATCAGACCAGACCAGATCAGACTTGACTTCCGTAGTTATAAAATACACAGAGACCAGACGTTTACCAGACCAGACCAGATCAGACCAGCAAATTTCAGTCCAAAAGAAAACATCCTAACAATCATTTATGACAAAAAAGAATGTGTAAATTGGATTTTCAGTTTTTAATCATTAGTTTTCCATAAAAAAAAACTCATTTTCTGAATATTTGGTTGTTGGCTTCATATTTTGCCAAATGTATGGTAGTTCTGTGCTATTCTTCCGATATAAATCTGCAATTTTTTGGCAGATTTGAAAAATTCATACTAATAGTAGATTTTGATCGAATTACTAGTAGAATATAAATCAACTTAATGACATACTCCCTTCGTCCCGTAATTAAGTTCCTACTTTCCTTTTTGGGATGATCCATATATATTAAAGTTCCTACTTCAAACCTTTCCTTGTTTGGCAAATGATTTACACCAAAAAGTGCCAAACAGTGTCAAACAGTGTTCAAACAGTGCTAAACAGTGTTCAAATACTGCACTCCACATTAAAATCAAATTTATTTTCTTAATTTGTGTGAAGTCAAACCAGGAACTTAATTAAGAACCGGAGGGAGTATTTATGATGCTAGTGTTGTGATGGTGGTAGTGGTGCCCAGAGGTGCAATGGTGTTCTCGATATCCATTTTCGTGGCAGTTTGCTAAGAGGCTGCGATGGTGACTAGAATCGGCGACAATGACGTAGAGGATGACGGTGCTAGTTAGGACGACGCCGGCGCGGCAACGATGCAACTTCATGTAACTATAATTAATTAATTATACGATTTCAAAAGGATTTGAATTTTTTTTAATATCTTATTATCGATTGAAATAAGGGATTATGTCCTGAATATTACTAACTTTGAACCAATTACTAAAAAAGTGATCACTTTTAAAAAGGGGCAGAAAAGTGATCAAGAAGGTCATATCAATGTCATTCCCAGATTTTAATGTCACTATCCTATTTTAATGTCACTATCAAATGTCACTGCCGCCACCGCCTGTGTCACTGCGGCCACCGCCCGTGTCACTGCGGCCACCGCCCGTGTCACTGCGGCCACCGCCCGTGTCACTGCGGCCACCGCCCGTGTCACTGCGGCCACCGCCCGTGTCACTGCGGCCACCGCCCGTGTCACTGCGGCCACCGCCCGTGTCACTGCGGCCACCGCCCGTGTCACTGCGGCCACCGCCCGTGTCACTGCGGCCACCGCCCGTGTCACTGCGGCCACCGCCCGTGTCACTGCGGCCACCACCCGTGTCACTGCGGCCACCGCCCATGTCACTACGGCCACCGCCCGTGTCACTGCGGCCAATCACCACAGTGACATCTTCGCCTGGCCTTTCACCACATTGACTTCTCTCCGCCTCCGGCCACCTCCGCGGCCACAGTTACACCACCACAGTGACATCTTTTCAGTGACAATTATTCCACAGTGACACACAATTATTCCGGCCACTTCATTCTGGCCACCACGAATCACCACCACCAATCATTGTGCCTCCCTATACACTCCACTTCCACTGTCCTATCCACCCAAATGTTCATCACCGGAAAACCCCCATCCCTTACCTCTCCACCCAAACGCCCAGAACCCGAAAACCCCACATCCCCATCCCTTGCCCACCATCTAAACATCCAGCACCGGAAAACTCCCCATCCCTTGCCCCTGACCTGCCCTCAATCACTTCCCAAGCTTCAACTCCGACCACCCGCAGTAACGATTGTTCAAGTCACCGGAGTCCTTCCAGCACGTGACCGGCCTCTCAGCCCCAGTCCCGATGTAGCAAACCTAGCCACGACCTGCAACAAACGTTCCGCCTACAATCCAATAGATCTGGGATTAGATCTGTGCGATTGAGTTTTAGGGGGAGAACTGGAGAAGAGAGATGCAACGCAGACCGACGACTCTCGCGGCGGCGACACTCCTTGAGCTCCGATGGCGTATGCAACTCTGCACTCTAACGAGCTCCCGTACCTGCGACGAACCAGCCTCAATGGATGAAGATGTTGGCATCCACCTCCCCATTAACCACAAAGAAAAGAGAAGGAACAGAAATCACGCAGATGGGAAGGGCGACGTCGACCGGCACGAAGCAGAGAAGAGGATGGCGGCCGCCAAAGGCGTCGGTCCCCGCCTGTGAAGTCGATGATGGAGGAGCTATGGAGTAGAGACCCGCTGCGATCGACCATTCCCAGAACCGTAGATCTGATGAGGAGGCAGCATAGATCTCAATCAGGAGCTTAGATCTAATTAGATTTAGTCACTTTTTTGCAAAGTTTTAAAATGGTCATATTTTTGAAATTGGAAAGTTCAATGGTAATACCGGAGTCATTCTTTCTTGAAATAAAATATGATTAGGGGTACTATATTTGAAAGATTGAACCCCTTTTAGTCCTAGTTTTGAACATCAGTCTTCTTTTAGCCCTAAATAGGTACTGCAACTCTACCAAATATTATAATGACAATAGTAGTCGTCCTGCCCTTCCTCTAACCAGCTTCTCCAACCAACTCTCCATCCCCAAAACCCTCTAGGCCCCCTAAGCCGCCTCTCCAACTGCTACTCTCACTGTCCACGAAGCCCTAGATGCACTCGTAGATAGCTCATAACCATTGTCGTTGATGTTAGGAGTCCTCTTTGCACCATCGGCCCCAAATCGAAGTCCACACTAGGAGGTCGTAGTTAACTTCTTCGCAGTTCTCGTTGCCGCCATCAACATTGAACATAAAACAAAGAAGGAAAAGAGTAAATGTTAGTGGCTGCGGCAATTTGATCCGACTGGCGACTCATGGTGGTGTACGCATTTTGGTGTACACGTGAACACCCAAAATGCTACTTCACATTAAAATTGTGAACACTTTTGGTGTACACTCGTCTCTCTCATGGCATTTTGAGAAGTCGCATTTTGGGTGTTCATGTGTACACCAAAATGCATACACCACCATGAGTCGGCAGCCGGATCAAATTGCGATTTATGACATTTTGGTGTACACTCGTCTGTCTCACGCACATAAAATTGTTTTTCCACAAACAGCTTTACAGAATTACAAACAATTCTGTATGCACGTGAGATAGACGCCTGTACACTAAAATTAAAATGTGTACACCTAGCACAAGGCTTATACTCTTATCCATCTACATCAATTCTTCGTGTACACCTACTTTGTACAGATTTTGTGTGCTTGATGCCTCTCTGGACAGACAAATGATGTATAATACGGAGTACTCCGTATATGTGTGTACAAAGGTATATGTGTATAAAGTATATATACCAGAACATTTTTTATTCCAAAAAACAAGACCTATCACGCATGAAAGATATTACGGCACAGCTGTGGCATCTTGAACGCTGACAGTTTCAAAGGGAATCGTCTGCACCGTTAATTGTGCTGAGTGGGATTATCTAATCATCATTTCTTTGACATTTTAACTATCTATACATATCATATTATCATTTGATTAGATTGTAAAGTTTATCACCTTAACGGAAAAATAAATTAGACTACAAGCAATTGGAAACAAATCGCTTTCACAATATTCCCCTTAACGTACAAACTTAAAAAACGCAACCTCCATAAATAAAATACAATGCAATGAAATATACAATTTGTGGCCCCATTAAACAGAGGAGGGCACATGAAAACAGCACACATTCCATAAATCAATCCATATGATATACAGATATTCATTTTAAGAAAAAAAAAAACTTAATCCTTATCCTGTTTTCCTTTTAAATTATTTAACACAAAAGAATTAAGAGTTAATTATCAAAATAGGACTAAAAGTCATTCACTTTGCACAAATAGGACCAAAAAATAAACTATGTTTCCATAGGACTAATTATGTTTGTCTTGGACAAATATACCCTTATACCTATTGGAATGTTTTAATTCATAATAAAATAATAAAAAATAATAAAAATTCGTAAAATATACCAAAAAATTAATAAAAATATTTTGAATAATAATAAATTTTAAAAAAAAAATTCAAAAAAAATAAAAAATAAAAAAAAATTAAAAAAAATTAAAAAAAAAATCAAAAAAATATTTTTTTTGTCACCGCCGCCTATACCGCCCCAGCACCACCACCTCTAGTCATTTGGGGAAAAAATGCCAAATTTATTATGAATTCCATATTTTTGGCATAATTCAGAATGATTTAAGATGGAAGAAAAAAAATGTTGGCATTCTCAAAGAGAAATATGCCATATTTTTGGCATTTTCCGAAAAAAATGGAAGTTTGTAGGAAATATGACATTTTTTTTAACGGTCGGAGGTGGTGGTGCAGGGAGGCGGTACCACCACCTCCTGTCACCGGGGTAAAAAAATGCCAAAAAAATTATGAATGCCATATTTTTGGCAAAAGTCAAAAGGATTCAAGTTGGCAGAATGAAAATGTTGGCATTCTCATAGAGAAATATGCCATTTTTGTGGAATTTAAAAAAAAAGTGGCATTTTTTACACCGATCGGAGGTGGTGGTTCAGGGAGGTAGTACAGGCGGTGGGAAACATATCCATAATTTTTTTAATTTTTTTTATGGAGTTTTACTATTTTTTTATTAAATTTTTAAAAAAAAAAAAATTAAAAAAAAAAAATTTTCTTATTTTTTATTTTATAAAAATTTATTAATTTTTTTATTATTTTTCTACGAATTATTGAAATTTTTTCGAATTTATTATGAATTAAACATTTAATTATGACTTTTAGCTATCTTTTACTAATATTTAAAGGAGGGGTAAGAATGGAAGGAAGAAATGAGTATGTTTCCAATAGGACCACTATGGTCCTATTTTGGAAAAAAAACATAACAAGTCCTATTTTGAGTTTTTGCCATAATTTTAGTCCTATTTGAAGTAATTTCTAAAGAATTAATAAGATATGGATTTGAATTTGGATTTTTATTAAAAAAAATTACATGATGTTTTTCTTTTCGTTTTTTACAAATGGTGCAAAAATCTAAAGGTGTTTGAGTTTCCCAGACAAGATAGTCACAAAGCTATACTGTAAAAAAAGGGAAAAAAGAAAGGACAAAGCCAACAACTGTATACTGGCAACAACATAACGTGGCTAACCCCGAATTTTGCGCCACAATTTTTGTCCAGATGATGCGCATTTGGAAACTCACGCGCCGTTCGCAACGACTATTCACGTGAATGACGACGCGCTTTTCCCGAAATCCATCGTCGCCGGAATCGCCGAATATCTCGAGGACACGTCACGGGCAGCCTGATCGTCCGCCAAATCACCGCCGTGCGCCGATCCGTCGTCGAAATTGAGAGCGTAACTCACCGCGTCGTAATGGAACTTGCAGGGCCTTGTGCGGCGCTTATTGAATCGGCGGATGAATGTCTTCCATTTGGGACCGGCGACGAGCTCCGACCACTCCCGGACTCGCTTGAAAGCCTTCACCCCCTTGGTGAGCCACGTACTGATCTCCTCCTTCTGACTTTCCGACGTTTGGATCCGCTCCCAGACGCTGCTGGATCGGCGGCCGAAACAGGGGAGCCAGAAACCGCAGCCCCTTCCCTGAAGCGCCGGTTCCTTCGAATACTCATTCGCGGCGGCGGCACCTTGCGGCACGAACTCTGGTGCGTTACTATGGACTTCCATTTTCATTCAGCAATACCCTAAAAGGCTAAATATTAATTGCAGATTCGTTACGAATCGAAAGCCCTAACTCTCTGAATGAGGACTTTTCGATTCGTTTACGGGAAGCGGAACAAATATAGGGGAGCCTGATGGTTCCCGGCACTGGCAGTATTATATACTCCGTGTAACGGAGAGAACTGCCAGAATGGCAGACGCATAAATAAATAGTCATATACGGAGTAGTATTTGAATTAGGCTTTAAATAAGAAATGTAAAAATTGTCAAAAATTATTGAGTTTGTTTTACAAGAATATTACTAAAATAAAACTTATTTACATAAATATGACTATTCATTACTACAACGTAGTGGTGTGGTCACTTAAGTTCAAAACTCGAACATGAATTACTATGATTTCATTACTACTCTAGACTCTAGTAACTAGTCATATTTTTGTAAATCATCTTTATGTGGATCATATTTATGTAATTATTTCAAAATTAATTAGTCAATATTTGAGATTCTAATAAATCACCTTAATTCCTTCAAAAAAAAATCACCTTAATTGGGTCATTTTGGAGAATTTGACACTTTAAACTACATAGTACTCGTAAAGACGTAAACAGTAACGGATGAGATTCTACGAATCATAAGAGTTGGGACGAGTTTTCTCTCTAGGACTTCGACTATGTCGACCGCTGGAGCCTTTTCCGATTTCGACTTTGTCGAAGATCGGCCTTGCTATCTCTTGGTCGATGGTGCTCGGCTGGAGTCCAGGTCATGCACGGAGGGCGGAAATCGGTGGAGGAGGGCAGATTTGCTGTCATGGCTCAAGGAGATCGGTGTTGTGGTCAAGATTCGAGGATGCGGCGTTGCTGTCGTCGTTGGAAAAGATCGGCGCCGCCTATCCGTTTACTCTGGTCGCACGGAGCAGGGATGAGTTTGGTTATGCAGGGACGGAGGATTGATGCATGGTCTTTGGCAGCCAAAGGCCATGGAGGGTCAATTAGCATGGTACCAGTGGTACGACCTCCTCCTGAACCATCACCATGGGATGTACGAGGTGCTAGAGTTCGTGAAAGTTTTTCTTGTAGTTTTTATCTGTTTGTTATTTGTTTTCTTGTGTCCACTTTTGTTGTTGGTTCTGACAGTTTGTTTGAGTTTATTGCCTCTCTTTATGTCATTGTGTATGGTTGGATCTATGGGAACATGTTTGGTTGTATCAAGCCCACTACATGGTTAGCGATTCGTGTTGCTCTCTCAGGGGTGACCGTCTCAAAGTCTCATCATAGGGTTACAGTCTTAGTTGTTGGAGTTTCAGTTGGTGTTAGTTTTATTTTTCCTTTGCTTGATGTAATGATCCTGAATCTTTTGATATGAATAGAGGTCTGTTTTGATGATAAAAAAACTACATAATACTCGTATTTTTTTGTAGACTTTCATTTTTTATTTATGTTAAAATTACATGTAGTACTATACTACTCCCTCCGTCCCTAATAACTTTGTCAAGTTTGACCGGTACGGAGATTAATAAAGTAAAAATTGTATGGTTGAGGTTTGTGCAGAGGATAGAGAATTAACTGAAACCACAAATTCTTTACTTAAATAAAAAAGTGACAAAGTTAATGGGACATCAAAAAAAGGAAAGTTGGTAAAGTTATAAGAGACGGAGGGAGTATACTATACCATATTAAATTAGAAAACATATTAGATTAAATTAGAATGGAGCAAATCAAACCTTGAAAGTTGTAAAGTAAAGTACACATACAACAAATATATAACATGTCAGATTAGTTCACCAGACTAGACTTAAATAGATCAGATCGTACTAAAACTATAATCCAATACAAAACATGTGAACTATTCAGTACAAAAAAATCTGGGTTTTCATTTTTTTTATACGTTTTTGTACACGTCCCTATTTTACCTGTGTACATGATAGTACAGAATTGTTATGGTTTATATTTGTAATTTTAACTAGTTTTATTTATTGTTGTTTGAGAAATTACACACTTTTGGTGTAATACTTTATTTTTCCTAGTTTATTGTAATTTATTAGTTTTAGATCTTAAGCTTGAATAAATTAGTCTACAACAAAGGAGCATGGAAGATATCTTATAAGATCAAAGGAAGGTGCAAGGGAGCAAGAAATCATGCAAAAAATGTGATTTGGTGACTTACCCGGTTGGGTATGGCATTTACCCGGTCGGGTATGAGGTGAAAAACGAAGCTTCTGGGAAGTTTTATCAAATACCCGGTCGGGTATTCCATTTACCCGGTCGGGTAAGAAGTGACTTGCGACAAAAAGACGTGCTACAGAACACAAGAACGTGTGAAAAGATATGATTTGATAAATACCCGGGCGGGTATCTCAAATACCCAGCCGGGTATCCTGCACAGCACCTTCAAAACACCTATAAATAGCCTCATTTTCCTTCGATCACTTTTAAACAACTCCTTCTTCCATACTCTTAAGCTCAGTTTAGAATAGTATTTCTTTTATATTTTTATAGTATGTTTAGTCTCCAAATAAGGAGCTAAACTTCCATTTCTTGGCGTTGCTCTTGAAGCTTGTTGATTATTAAAGTTGTGAGTTATTTTCTTAACTTTTTTCCTTGAATATTAATTCTTCCTTTAAATACTATTTCTATATCAATGTTGGGGAGTGTTACTAAGATGACAATTAGTTAACATCTTGACATTGGTCTTAGTAATAGCTATTCCTTCCTCTATGTTAATATTGGGGAGTGTTACTAAGATGATAATTAGTTAACATCTTGATATTAACTATAGTAGGATTCATTTTCTTTAATATTCTTCCTTGAGTATTAATTAATTCCTATTCATATTTCATATTAATATTTTGAGCATTACTTAAAGGATCAACTAGTTTTGTTTCACATATTAATATTAATTATTACTAGAAACGATCAACGAACCGATGGTTAATCGTTGATGGTTTCACAAGTAAGTAACTTCGGTTTATTAATGCACGGTCGTGGTTAATAAACTTAAGAGGGATTAATTTTGTTGGTTAAACCGAAACCGTTGTGTTGAGGTTATCAATCTCAATTGATTTCATCAAGGAGTTAAGAGATTAAATGCTACTATCAAGTCGGTATATGGCGTTGTTCTATACTTGACTAATAGTAAGGGTTATTAATGAACGGTCGTTGTTAATAACTATCCTCGATGAATTGGATATACTCCTCGATTGAGTATTCGAGAGGAGATAAGTTATAGATATAACAATGATCGACTAAAATATATCAACAAGTGGAAAGTAGCAATGCCAAGTCCCTTTTTATCTTTGAATTAAAACCCATATAACTCGTTCATCTTCTTGTTTTAATTTTAATCAAATCACTCAATCAAAACCCCCCTTTTATTTACTAGTTCATAAAAAGAGAATTATTCCTTTCCCTGTGGATACGAACTCTACTACGCTATACTACGTATAAGTGTTAGTATTGAATTTATTTTGAGTGCACACACGACAAAGTGCACGTCAGTACACAAGCATGACTTAACTAAAGGAGGCCATGTTAGGCCCATCCAACCCAAATATAAATTTTTAAAAATGATAGGGTAAGAAATTCATGTAATAACTTTAAAAAAAACTTATACCTGCCCAGTCCAAAATATTGCATTGGCCATGAGCGGATCTACAACCAACATAGGGGGACAACTGCCTCCAATAAAGGCTCAACAATCTCCTATGATCCATTTGAAATAATTTTAGCCCACATAGTTGCCCTCAATAAAAAAACAAATACCCCCAATTGAAAACACAAATGCTCCCATACACCCAGTCATAAAAACGATTTCTAGACTTTGTTATTAGGTGAGTTCAAATTTTACTTGCTTAAATCGCTAGTTAATCGTGTAAAAATGTAGAATATAATTGTTACATAGCTAACCGTTGGTGAAAAGTGGACTAGAGAAGGTGTGGAGTGGCTTCATAGTCTTGGATGAGTGGCGGTGTGTACCTAGAATTTTGAGAAAATTACTTATATAGGAGCAAACTCTTACTGATTTGCTTAAATAGGAGTACTTCCGTTGGCTATGTTTAATAGGAGTGTTTTATGGCTGGCTTGACAAAAATACCCCTGCTAAATAAGTCGCCTCCATTCCCACAAGCGCGCTTAACATTTATCGAATCAAATAGTTTATAGCACATTCAGCCGCTAGATGCATTGCTGCGCACTCCTTCCGCCCCTCGCCCCTATTCTTACGGCCGCTGCCCTCGCCGCTACTCCTGCAGCCGCCGCGGCCCTCGCCGGAATGGTCTGTCGCCGCGGCCCTCACCGGCACGGTGGCACCGCCAATCGCCGCCACTGACAATTCAACCATCTATCGGCTATCGCCACAGAGAATTCAACCATCTATCACCTCCGAGAGTGGCTAGATAAATCTTCCATTAAGTTGGAATGTTTTTTGTTTTGTAGATTAATTTCAATTCTGCCATCAAATGATATACAAACCTGCCATAAAAGATGGCAGATTTATCTTGGAATATTAACACAAAACTTCCATAAATTTGGCAAAAATATAGTCAATAACAAAATATTAAGAAATATATATATAGAATAAGAACTTAATGCAATCTGAAAATAGAAGCACAAAGCTAATAGCAAAAAATAGTAAAACAATCAATGAACACAAAAGGTTTTTTTGCCAAAGTACGATTGTCCTAATACACATTTCTGCCAAAAACTTGGCAAAGAGTGAATCCATCTTCCAAAATTTGGGAAAATCATTTTTTAATGAGAAATCAAACATCAGAAGTTCAGGACGGCAAAATAGCAGTACGAAAACTAACCAAATCAATGTCAAATCCCAGAGAAATGGAAGAATAGAATAAAAATTAGAAAATTCAATGTAAATTTTAGAAGTTAGAGGAATAGGGGGAGGAGGGGGAAGAAGAAGATCGAAGAAGAAGAAGAGAAGAAGAAGATGATGAGGAAGAAGAAGAAGCAAAGAAGAAGAAACCTGGCAGCGATGTATGGAGAGTAATCGATGACGGAGTCCAAGGAGAACGATTGATCTGGTGAGGAGCAAGGCGGAGAGAGTCCATGGTAGCGGCGATGGTGCACAGGGAAGTTAATTTATGTGCGTGAATGGAGTAGTAACGCAGGGAGTAAGATGCGATGAATTGATGTGCGCAGGAGGAGCAGATATAAATAGGGGCAAATGGGGAATGCAATTTACGTATGTTTACAAATAGGAGTAAGATACTCCTATTTAGGGGAAAAAACATACACACTCCTATTTAGGAATTTCCCTTATGTTTTACTCTTATATGAGACAATTTCTCTAGAATTTTAGGTGTGTGTTTGTCGATGATTTGTTTTAGGATAAATTTTTTCTGACGGATAGGCTTCTTCAAGGCAGGAGTGCTGGAAGACGGAGGTGCTTTGAGTCTTATTAGTAGGAATTGCATGGGGACAAGAAATCTCGCTATTACGTTGGTCATGATAATTTAGATTGAAACGATTAGCAGTATTCTTCCAACACTAGATCTATTTTCCTCAAATGTCATCATGCTCCTCTATCTGTATATGGTGTCACCGTTAGTCCGCTCACCTCTCGAACCACCACCACGTGCCCGAGAGGTGGAAATAGATTGCAAGTTTGAAGAGTCAAGAATAAATGTCATTGGTGTTTACATCGTCATTACAGATTTGCTGATAAAGATGAATCAGGCTAGGGGACAACATGGTTGAATATTGATGACTCATTTTTACAAATGCAATCTTTAATTGGTTTTGGTAGTTATGGTTGGTTCAATACCCTAGTTTATTTTTTTGTTTATCTTAAATGATGGCGAGAATTTTAGACCAATCATGGATGATCAGTGTATTTTTTTAGTGAGTAAAACGTAGTTGGCTAATTTGAAGAATAACCAGACCACGAGTATTGTCTCTCAAGGAGTGGCAAAAAGGAAGTTTTAATAGCAATCTGTGATCACAGGCTAGCACAAGTCATGGTAATCTTTTTAAAACACTTTTTTTGGGGTGGTCTTAAAAGCCTAACGGCAATTGCAAAAATAAATAGAGTAAAAAAAATTAAATCGATTCTAGATAATAAATAGAGAAAATTGTCCAACATAGAACTAAAACTCAACCTTTTTCCCCAAATAGGATCACATGCATGTTTTTCCCTAAATAGGACTAATCTTACCTTTGTTACCCCTAATTCTATTTAATTAATTAATTAATTAATTAACTGATCTAAATAATTGCCCCCTAGTTTCCTTGCACAACCATGGCAGTCCGTCAGTGGCGGGGCAGTCCGTGGTGGCGGCAGCACTCTGGCAGCTGGTCCGCGGCGGATTCCGGCGGCGGTGGCGAACTCCGGCAATTAATTAACCCAATTAATTGCCCCCTAGTTCTCTTGCACAACCAAGGCAGTCCGTGGTA